ACGGCATAGAATGCTAACAGAGTCTAATCCTGCGCTTTCACACTTGGAGATATAAGATAAGATAGATGTGAAGGAAATAATGTTTAAAAATTGCCCGTGAAAAAAAACTAATGTAGTTGTTTCTTATTTTAGTGATCATATTTCTCGCAAGGTCTATGAAGTCACTTGCTCACATCCTGTCATATAGGAGTTGATCGGGATTTGCTTAGCTGCGGTTCCTGGTTCGTGTAGTAATATTGTGTGAAATGTTAAAAAAGGCCTTGCAAATTATGGATTAAGTATTTCTAGCTAGGTCAGAGATATGCATCGGTGAAAGTTCTGTCTTCTATCAGAGGAAAGATTCATCGATGAAAATGCCACACCCTTAACATAAATGCAGGATGACGGAGCCAGGTTCAGCATATCCAGACGCCAGAGAACAGACGTCCTGTCTCAGAATCATTATTTACAATTTCAATCCCTAACTTGTTAGCTGTGGATTGTCTATGTGTCTAATTCTAAGACGCGGTGGTTTTCAATTGGTGTCAAGCTACTTAATTTATCAATAACGATGTTAAAGATTTTGTGACATACATGTGTCATGTAACAACCCGAATCTCGAATTGATAAAAAATTTTAAAAATAGCATAGAACATGTCTGTGAATCCAGGCACATTATTTGCATAATTACACTTAATAATATATGATTACAACCATGAAGAAACTAAAATGGGAGGTATAACTAGTGTAAAGCATATTAATCATATCAAATATGCGTGCTGAAATAGACTAGTTGATGGGAACAGACCCGGTTGCCATATTATGACTATTTTAACGGTAATATAAAAGGATACCCATTGGGGTGAAATTGTGAGTTGAGCAGCAATGAATATAGCTGCATAGTACATAGCTAGTGCAGACATAATTTCATGTATAAAGAAATATAAGGTATATTTCTTTACCTTGAAAACAACAGGACGTTTATCAAGCGCATTATCACATATGCCAGGGTCCGCTCACATTGTCTTTTTAATATCCCAGACAGTGGGCAACCGCCTTCCTTTGAAAAAGACGCCATAATAATTTCTTGATGAGGGGGAGGAATTCATTCCTCGATTTAACTATCTAGAAAATAAAGCGATCATGACGTCATGGTATAAAATATATCAATCCATGATAACTAGTGTATGTGAGAAATAAAAATATAGTTGCCAGGAAATCAATAATTTGTGTATGAGATTTAAATCAACATGGATCGTTCTATGGTACTAGATTATGACATAAGTTACTGTTATTTAAGATCAAGGATTTACAAAATTCCTTCCTTCTCATGTATAATGGTACAGATATTACACACATAAGTATGGTTTATTTTTTAGTTCTCTGTCGAGCTAGATAGTGACTTATGGGCTGAGCTTTTCGTGGTATTCGCTTTTCCGTACTGAGCTGTCGCTGTCTCGTCCCAGCTCGTCGCGTCGCTGCGTGTACAGTACCTCTTACTTGCCGTTATGATACATCTCTCTCAATAAACACTAAGCAAAATTTCATCCAAACCTACCCCTTCACAGGAATATTTTCTTAGTGTGAGTCACCTAGAATTATGTTCATAGAATTTATTCCATGACCAAACTTGATTGACACATGGAACTGAACCAGAAAAGAATTTACATACTGCTCTGTAAAGAAACCGATACAGGAGTCGTTAGAGCGAAGATAGTTATCCGGACGATGAAACCTAAATCTTTAGCACGTAAAGTAGTGTAGCTACATAGCTGATTGTTACAAATTATCATACAAGCCACTGTCCTCCAAACTCCGACCACCAGCCACACGGCGGGGCTTCATTAAACTTCCTGTCAACCATATAGTCTATATAGTAAGAAAACTTTTAAGAAACAAATCTTATATATAAGTTGAAGCTCGAAAGAGCTTCCCAGAGCTAAATATAAGACATCAGTACAACAATCCATTCTAAATAGAGTGTCTACCATAGGTTGTGTTCAAAGTATAATGTAAATGCCGCTGGGGGATCAGACCGATCTGGCTCCGGCGCCTGGCAGTGGGGAGCGTGCCATCTTTGCTATTCCTATATACTAGATATACTCAAAGAACTTAAAAATATACTTCTCTTAATAGACCACGTGCAAGAGAGCCCGGTAGAGCTCCGTAAGTAATGCAATTCCTAAAGCATGGAAACATGTCTCAGATGTGTGGTGTGCTCCTGCTACAACAAGTAATCAAATGGTAATATCAATCACCAACATTAGCCGCTGGGAGTCAAACATAACATTTGGCCCTCCGGCGCCCTCGACGAGCGTCATTGCTTCAGTCAAACTAATTATATGGTTATAGCGATAACAAAATGATAAAAAATCATTCTCTTTGAAATAAACTCATATAGACTAGAGTTTAGATTAATAAGTGATCCGAATGAGAGATCATTCTTCTAAGTATAGTAGTCTTACAATATTGTCTCGTTTAAATGAAGTGAGAGCAAAGAAATTTCTGGCAAGCAACTCTTTCCTGTAACTCAAAAAACTGGTACAATATTTATTACCAGACATAATCTGGTCAAATTGTATCTTTCCACAACAAGATATACACGAAATCCTTGTTCCTAAGTTTCTGCCACAGATATAAATACAAGAAGAAAGCTTGTTAAACATCTTACCTCGCCACAAACATGAGGGTGGGTTGCACACTCTCTTACTAGTGACCCTCAAGCCATGTCAAGTCTCGAACAACGGTGGCGGTCCAACTGTCATCCTGCCCCAGGGTGTCAGTTTATTAAGACTATGATCCGGTCGCTAATGAGGTTAAAACACTACTAAAAATAGCCTCTCTCTTTATATGGAAACAACAAAAGAGAAGCAAAGACTTGAGTAAATATATGGCCATGCACACCATCTATCTAAGAAGTTGACGCTGTCTTACCTACGATTTAGGTCAGCCAAGTAAAGACAGCCCTTTGGTTTCAGAAATGCGCCCCGCCCAGGGGAAGCTTCATGATTAAATCCCTATATGCACCTTCATAGTACAACTTCTAAAAATCTTCTGTTAAAACAGACCCAACGCAGAGTAGAGCTAATATATTTAGCAAGAACACTTCAATAATGAGTGTCCACCAAAGTTATCAATAAAGCCGGGTCAAATTGGCCCTCCCAGATGTCTCTCAAATATGTTCTGTATATGAAATTTATTAAAGTTACAAATAAAAATGTCATTAACTTTTAAAGAATCAAGAGCTAGAGCTTTAGATATTTATGAACTGAATAACCTATGTTCTACTGGTGCTTACCTAAGTAGTTCAATACATAGCCCTGGTGTCAGAGAATTGCGCCAATCGCTCGCCTGCGGGGTATTCGACTCTCACCGCTTTCCAACTGTGATATAGGGCAAATAGACAGCAAACTTAAAAATCTTCTTTTAGGTAAGTAAAAACCCTATATAATATGCAATGTTGCTGAAGAAAAACTAATTAAAGCATGGAGAACCATCTCTTTCTCACTTTAGCTGCGCTTCATAAGAAGTGATCTACTTTAAGTAATTTGACTAATCAAATATCTATAAAATTAACTGTGCTTCACTGGGTACATACAATCTGGGTCTCCCGTCCCAGGCGTGTTATGTTTCATAAATTCAGCAAGCAAAACAACAGATAAGTGACAGATGATGCTCTATTGATGCGCGCTATGATAGTCTCGACCAGCCGGATAATTATAGTAAATGATCTGACCCTACCACCAACCTCCACCGCCAACCTTGCCCTCCTCCCTTTCAACGCCATGACGGGCGATGGTCCAATCTAAATTCCTACAATTCGAACAAAGCTAGTCTATTTATATTTGAACAAACTTGTAAGACACCATTAAGAAGATCTGTTCCATGTTAAAACAATCTTATGTCTCTAGCTCTCTTGTGAGAAGGAATGCTCTTAAAACCCAAAAGTGGATTTTTAGTTTTACAACTAGCAGTCATAATAGGTTAGTGATATGACCAGAACATGCATATTCTACGATATAGCTGTCTAAAGAGTTAAATTGGTTTACTCCATCCAATTTCCTTTGGAACTTGGCTCGGTAGATTTTTGGACACTACCAATATATTTATCGATATAGCTTGGATAGCTATTTCCCATAAAAAAATCCCTATAGATGTTCACATGAAACTAATCCAATTGGAGCGGGTACTCACGAGTTTCCTTCAGATCAGTGAGAGTCCTCAGATCGATAAAGCCTTTTAATTTAGGTTTCATCTAATCATAAAAAGCATGAAATTAAACAGCTTGTCTCTTATAAAGAAATAGAAATGTCTACTCAGGTTTACTATCGACAACTTGTCTTACATCTTAATCAGTTATTCCAATTTGTTCATGATGAACTGAAAAGAAGATTCCCGATATAACATAAAAGGCTATGTTACATGAATTTTGAGCATTTTATCTTTAATAAAAAGATAAGGTAAATCTTTGCTTCGTCAGTTCAATTGTGAAACAAACAGTTCTAGTAAATTGTTTATCCTATTTTCTTTATAAAACAGTTTTAATTTTTATTGATATTGAAACCATAAAAATTCATATTCTTCATTATGAATTGAATACCCAATTGATCTTGAAATCATAGGGTATCGAGTTTTGGAATACCCAATTAAATGGAGCCAATACCCAATTCCAAAGGAAATGATGGAGTAATACCCAATTTTACTTTTAAAGCTTATCTGTTGCTCTGTCATTTATTAACTATATGTGTATTGTAAAAACTTAAAAAATCTTTTTTTAAGAAACCCAATGAGCTAGAGCTTAGATGTTTAACATGAAACATCTTTCTTATGGGTGTCTACCAAGTTTGTTCAAATAAAAGCCCTTGGGTTAAAAAATTGGCCCTGCCCGGGGGGGGGGGGGGGGGGGGGGGGGGGGGGGCTATATACAGGTGAGCGACTTCAAGGCCATCATGGCCCTCTTGTTTGTATAACATAAAGAGTAAGATTAAGAATAATTAGAATTATTGTAATTTTAATTTCAGAAGAGCATGAAGAGTGTCTTCTTTCATTAGTTACTCAGCAATATAATAAATACAACATACAAGTTATTCTTGCTGCCCACTTTATTTGGACCATTGGCTGGTAGTTACAAGATTGGAATCAATGGCTTCCCAAAGAATGCAAGATGTCCTAGATGTAACAAGGATATTAGTGAAGCAGTACAAAATACATCACTTGGTAATATATATTTTTCTCTTATTTGTTGCATTTATATTTTTTTAGACCTTAAAACAGAGTAATTAGCCCTAAATAGTCCTTTAATAGTGGATTACTGCACCTGTTTTAGTGTAAATATTAACATCAGCAGAATCAGGAAGACCTATGTAAAGACAGAGCCTGCAGGGTGAGGGATTTAATATGTACAAGGGCTTCTCCTGTTGTTAATGCATGAAAAAATATGCATTTATAAGCACTATTCTTGTATAAAAGTATTCTTTTGCGTTTTATTTATTTGTTTTTTGTATAAAGAAAGCAGATTTGTCATGCTTTCAACGTGCTAGTGCAATGACATTTGACAGTTGTGGTTTGATAATGAAATTTATGGGGCTGTTATTGCAGTAAGCTATTTTTACACTGTCTATTTTGTGTCATGAGTATTAAAAAAGTGTGCAACAGCCCACTCATGTTTGTGCGAGGTAATTGTTAACACATGCTTTCTTCTCTGTTAATTTATATCTGCTGCAAGAACTTAGAACAAAGATTTCTGTATATCTGTTGTGGAATAGTATACAATTTTTACCAGTATTTATGTATGGTAATAATATTTACAAGTTTTTTAAGTTAACAGGTAATACATGTTTGCTTGACAATTTATGCTCACCAGGCAATATATGTTAAACAATCGATATATATTCATCATATTGTAATTATGTTTACATGTACCAAGCAATATATGTTTACCTAGCAATGTATGTTTACCAGGCAATGTATGTTTACCCAGGGTTCCCATGCTGTTTTCGGGAAAACGGGAAATGTCCTTGAATTTGAAAACAGGAGCTCCCGGCCTTGAAAAGTCCGGAAATTAGTGTTGATACAAAAAAAATTCCGGGAAGGTACGGGAATTAGTCTGGAAAATGGGAGGTAAAAAAACAACCAAAATGGCGGTCTTAGCACAATAAATTTACTTCCACATCTTGAATGTTGATGATTTTTCGATTTACAAGTGTTTTGGGAGGCCAAGTTTGACATTTATGAGATTTAATATTTATTTTCTGGTAACTATGGCGGTTTTGTTTGGAAAATCTAATGAGACAGTAACAAATCGACCTCAAGTTTGCTTGATTAGCCCGTGCTCAAAGCACATGAAAAAGATGAACAACAGGTCTGGTTGTTTCATTGGGCAATTTTTTTATCCTAATTGCTCACAACCATGCTAAAAACCAAAGGTAAATCAATATAAAATAAACAATAGTAGTTCATATTATCACGGCAGAGCACAGCCAATTGGCCACACTATATTTGGGTAACATGAAATAGCCAAAATACACTAAAATAAATGTGTTATACTAAAAAAGTGCCGTTTTAATCATGAATACAATACACTTTCACCAACATGTAATCTATCATACCAAAATATACATTTTTGAACCAAAATATACCCAAGTACAGTATACACCATTACAGCTATTAAATAAAAAGATACGAATGGACTTGTATGAAATTTCAACAAAATTATACCCTACAAATTTAAATAAAGACAACAAATATTAGCATATCTTGCAAGTACATTTGCCTATTCATTAATGAACCTAACAGTTAGATAAACAAATGTCTTTTTTTTCTTGCAACATCTGAACTGCCAATTTCAATGGATGAATGAAAATTATAGCTGGCTAAGACATATTATTTTGTAAATATCAATTCAATAATTAAGTGTGTTTGGGTATATTTGGTAATTTTGTGCTGCTGCCATATTTTGTAGATGGTTTAAAAAATTGTAAGATCAAATCAAAAGATATGTCATTGAAATACAATAAAAGAATCCCTAAATAACATCCAAAACAGCAAAATTGAAAATGTTGTAGACTAGGGTTTATGTTCATATATAGTACTGGAAAATGCACCCCCTGTAGCACTGGCTTAAGCAGAATACAACATTTAAGCATGAAAGTTGTGAAATTTTGAATGTAGAAACACCTGCAGGCAGTTTTCATATACCCTTCAGCGTGACATGCTTTTGCCATTCTATGAAGTCTTGGTGGACTGAGGTCAAATGTGAGGTTACTTATTAAAGTACTATAAATATCTGGTAAAAAAGTGATAGCCTTGGAAGCATTAAAAACAGCAAAATTGCATGCAAATTGCAGACAACCTGCAAAAACAGTTGCTGTCAGAAAGAACATTTCATTATTTATAGACACTGAAAGTATTTCTTAGATAGAGTTAGATTTATGTCATGAACTACATGTATTATATTGGTGTTATTAAATGTTGCTCTAAACATTACCATGAACATATTCATAGGACAAAAAAACTCAAATAGCTTGAAATTTAATCTTTTAAAAAGTCCTTAAAAATCAAAAAAAGGTCCTTGATAAGTCCTGGAAAAGTCCTTAATTTTTCAAAATATCTAAGAGTTGGAACCCTGTTTACCAAGCAATGTATGTTTACCAAGCAATGTATGTTTACCTGCCAATGTATGTTTACCAAGCAATTTATGTTAACCAGGCAATGAATGTTTACCTGGCAATGTATGTTTTCCAGGTAATGTATGTTTACTCAGTAATGTTTGTTTATGAAGCAATGTATGTTTACAAGGCATTATATGTTTACCAAACAATGTATGTTTATGAGGGAAATGTATGTTTACCCAAAGGAATATGCTGTTTACTAGGTAATGGAGATGTATGGCATGGATATGCAGATATACTTGTGAATAGATGTTTAGTCAAGATAGGGACTGAAGACAATTTAAAGTTTGATGGAATTGATGAACCAGAGGATGAAAGTGGAGAAGAAGAAGTTCCAACTTGCAGATGAACGTTATCTGTCAGATAGTGTTGTAAAAAATGATGCAAAAGGTATCAAAACTATGTCACAGGCATTGGCACAAACAATTGTTAATGCATTTTCAGAAGTGAACCAAGAATCAGAGTTGTCGCGTTCCTTTATTACCGTCATTTATTGCAACATGTAAAGATATTCGAATAACTATGTATAACTCTGGATTTGATAGTCGGATAATGTCCAGTAATATGAAAATCTTTATGTCTCATGATAACAAAAACAATCTTAAATATTTCAACTATTTTGAGTGTTATGGTATGCCTTGAATTATGACAACTTTTTTGACAAAGTTGTTGAAGGTGATGAACTCTTTCCACAATTCCATTCTCCGAGATTCTATACAAAAAGTCAAACTTCAAAGAACAAGCAGGTGAAATGTACGAGATATACAAGGAAAAAAGTGCACCAAACCTATGACAGAAACAAATAAGAGACCAAGATGTTGTATTTAAAATATCAACTGAAAGTTTACTGGTCCTTTAAACTCTCTAATTAAAGAATCGATTTTATCGCTAAGAAGTGTTGTAAAGCAGAATTAGCTAGAGGTTGGTCATGTGACAGTCATGTGACAGTCTGTATGCTTTTGTTCATTGATCATGCTGTAACAACTTCTACATTTTAAGCTGACCTGAGTAAAGCTGAGAGGGAACTGTTAATATCTTATTTTGATTGGTGTTCGTCTGTTGGTATCCACAATTCTTTAAATAACTTCTTATTTGAAGTTAAAGATAAAAAGAACTTCACAGGAATGATCAATTGGTTGTCCTTTTACAGAAGATGCTAAAAGACCACATTCCATGCAGATTCTGGTTACCAAAGGAATTTTTATAGAAAAATTCTTGTCATTAATATTAAGTAAGTTATGAAACTTAGATATATTTGTAATGGTAGGATATTAAGTATGATTTTTATTGATATTGTTTTAAAAATTTACTGAAAACCTTGCTCTGTAAAAATAGTTTTTGAGAAATAATAATGATAGTATTTCTGAGTCATGATGGGTCTTTAAAGAAATAGTGGTTAGCAAAATATGTTAGCAATAGCAAACGTGTTATATAAATTAGCTAGAGAACATATTATTTTCTATTGATAAGTTTTGATGCAGGGTAACAGTTTTTAGCTCGACTTTTCTATGAAAAGGGGAGCTATCCTACTCGCCCCGGCGTCGGCGTCGGCGTTAGCGTTGGCGTCACACCTTGGTTAAGTTTTTCGTACCACCCCACTTTATTTCAGAAGTATTACAAGTATGGCTTTGAAACTTACCATACTTGTTCACCATCATAACCTCCATCTACAGACAAGAGTACATAACTCTGTCAAGGTTTTTGACAGAATTATGGCCCTTTTTTGACTTAGAAAGTGTATTGAGCTTGGTTAAGTTTTTTGTACCACCTCACTTTATTTCAAAACCATTGGAGGTATTGCTTTGAAACTGACCATACTTGTTTACCATCACGACCTTCATCAACAGACAAGAGGACATAACTCTGTCAAGGTTTTTGGACAGAATTATGCCCCTTTTTGACTTAGAAAATACATTGAATATGGGTAAAATCCACTTATTGCCTTAACCCTTTGAGATATTGCTTTGAAACTTTTAATGCTATTTCACATCATTACCCCCATCTGTACGCAAGAGAAGGTAACTCTGTCAAGGATTTGTTTGAAAAATTAAGGCCTTTTATCGACTTAGAATCTTGGTTAAGTTTTTAGTACCAGTCCACTTTTTGACTGAACTGTTTGAGATATTAATTAGAAAGTTGGAATACTTGTTTACAATCATGATTCCCAAACATGTCCAGGAGAAGGTAATTCTGTCAAAGATTTTATTTGAATTATGGCCCTTAACTGTCAATGTTTTGTATTATAGGCAAGCACTAAAAAACTTAAAAAATCTAAAAAAATTCATTCCTATCCACTTGTTCACTTTACCATAAATTATTATTATCACACAATTCAGTAAAATAATTCTTCACTAAATATCTTAATGCTCATGGCCATTGTTCACTTTAAAAATACAGAGATTCTTGTATTGCCTTTTACTGCAAAAACTTTTTTTATTGGCAAGCAATAAAAAAGTCGAGCGCGCTGTCTTACGGACAGCTCTTGTTAAACTGATTATAAATGAATTTAAAAAAACAAAATGCTTTTTAGCTGGATTATTCCAAGAATAGTATGGACATCTTACTCACCTGACTGAGTGTCAGTGTTGTCATTGGTGTAACACTTAGGTAAAAGTTTTGCATGCAGCATCATATTTCATGTTAATTCTAACATTATCCAGGCCCTTTTTTTACTATCAAGCACTGAGAATAGCCAAGCACTCTGTCCTAATGACAGCTCTTGTTGGAAAGATGTTTTTAGCTCGACTATTTGCATATTAATCGAGCTAATGCAGTCACCCATTTGTCGGCTTCTGCGTTCAGTTTTTTCCCGTAAGCTGGTATCTCCATAACTACTGAAGGGAATGGATTTAAACTTCACACACTTGTTCTCTGTGATTTTCTAAGATGATTGACACAAGTCCCATAACTCTGATTTGATTTTTTGCATGATTATGCCCCTTTTTCGACTTAGAAATTCTAGGTTAAGTTTTTGTTTGTAAGACTGTATCTCCATAACTACTGAAGGGTTTGTGCCTTTTTTAGAACAATTTTATGCATTCATAATAATAAAGCAGTGATTTTATGCATTCATAATAATAAAGCAGTGATTAACTTGATAAAACATCTTAATAACAAGCATTATTATACTCAATGAAACACCCTTGTGACAACTTTTCGAATAGTCAAGCGTTACTGTCCTCTGACAGTTCTTGTTTGTAGACAAAGTTTGTATAACAGTATAGAGCAGGTGTTAGATATGCCAATATTTTACAATCATGTGTAATATTAGGTTATTATACATTATTGAGTACAATTGTTCTATTGGACAAGTACACAGCTGTAAAACATATATAAGACAAGGCATAAGCTGAGTTTGATATAGGTTTTGCAGCTGTGTATGAGTCCAATAAAATCAGTATTGTTCTCAAAAGTGTATAAATGACCTCTTTTATTTTATACCAACATTTTTATGCCCACGCTATATAATGGCTGGGGCATATAGTGTTGCCCTGTTCCAACATTCCGTCCTTCTGTCATTCTGTAATTCCATCATCAACAGTTTCTGTTCATTATGTTAGTTACACCGTCGCACACATTTAACTCAAATTTGATATATGGATATATCATGAGAAAATACAGGTCAAGTTCGAATTTGGTCGTGGTCCAATGATTTTTGACAGAGTTATGCCCCTTGATGAAATTTTCAGTTTCCGTTCACTATCTCCACAATGGTATTACACATTCAACTCAAATTTGAAATATGGATAAGTCAAAGGAATGCCCAGAGTTATGCCCCTTTCACTTTGAAAAAAAGGAAATTTTCAGTTTCCGTTCATTATCTCCCCAATAGGTGTACATATTCAACTTGAATTTTGTAACATATGGATATGTCATAAGAATACACTGGTGAAGTTCGAATTTGGTCATTGTTTGATGACAGCTGACAGAGGTATCCCTCTTGATCTATGAAAAAAATCAGAAATTTTTAGTTTCCGTTCATTATCTCCCCAATGGTTGTACACATTCAACTCAAATTTGACATATACATACATCTTAGGAATAAGCAGTTCAAGTTCGAAATGTTGTGGTTCAATGATTTTGAACAAAGTTATCTCTCTTGAATGTTGGAAAAAAATTGAATATTTAGCTCACCTGTCTCGCTTTTCGTTAGTCGTCCGTCCGTCGTCCGTAAACTTTTACTTTAAATAACATCTCCTCATAAACCACTTAGCCAATTTATTCAAAACTTAACAGGAATGTCCCTTTGGTGGTCACCCTTTGGAAATTGTTCAAAGAATTTAATTCCATGTAGAACTCTGGTTGCCATGGCAACCAAAAGAAAAAACTTTAAATATCTTCTTTTAAAGAACCCAAAGAGCTAGAGCTTAGATATTTTGCATGAAACATCTTCTAGTGAGTGTCTACCAAGTGTGTTCAAATAAAATCCCTGGGGTAAAAATTGGCCCGCCCCAGGGGGTCATTGATTTTCCCTATATGCATATAGTAAAAACTTAAAAAGTCTTCTTTTAAAGAACCTAAAGAGCTAGAGCTTAGATATTAAGCATGAAACATCTTCTAGTGAGTGTCTACCAAGTTTGTTCAAATAAAAGCCCTGGGGTCAAAATTGGCCCTGCCCCAGGGGTTCATTGATTTTCCCTATATGCATATAGTAAAAACTTAAAAATCTTCATTAAAAAAACTCAAATAGCTAGAGTTTAGATATAAGGCATGAAACTTGTTCTAATGGGTGTCTACCAAGTTTGTTCAAATAATAGCCCTGGGGTCAAATGGGTGTCTACCAAGTTTGTTCAAATAATAGCCCTGGGGTCAAAATTGACCCACCCCGGGGGACATTGATTTTCCTTATATGTGTATAGCAAAAACTTAAAAAATCTACTTTGAAAAAGCCTGAATAGTTAGAGTTTAGATATTAAGCATGAAACATCTTCTAGTAAGTGTCTACAAAGATTGTTCAAATAAAAGCCCTGGGGTCAAAATTGGCCCGCCCCAGTTTTGTCATTGTTTTTAACTATGTGTGTATAGTAAAAACTTAAAAAAATCTTCTTATAAAAACCCAATGAGCTAGAGCTTAGATGTTTAGCATGAAACGTCTTCTAATGGATGTCTACCAAGTTTGTTCAAATAAAAGCCCTGATATTTAAACTTGCCCTGCTCTGGGGGCCTATATACAGGTGAGTGACTTCAGGGCCATCATGGCCTTGTTAGTTTCAGCACTCATACTTTTGTAGAAATGTATGTATTGTAGTCATTATTTTGGCTACAAATATGCAA